AAGTGACCTCACATCCTTTGCTGCACTTTTCGCTCCATGAATCGGTTTTTAAAATGTATTTTCCTAATAATTACGGTGTTTCTTGCTTCATACTTATCTCACAAATCGTTCTTTATTTCCTCCCGATTTCGAACTCTTGTATGGAATACCCCTTAACGGTTCACCGCCTAATGGTGGCTGGGAGGTTGTTGGGTGTGATGTACAGCGGGATGTGATTCATTTCCTCCTCCCAAGCTGAGAAGGAGTCCGACGTTTCCAACCAGAAGCTCAGCTGCGAGCAAACCAGTACTAAGAATTACCGCCGCGCTGGTGTTAAATTATTCGCACGGTGGCAGATTTCTCTGATCCACAAGAGCCAGCGGTTACCCAACGTGGTGACAACATGAGGAACGCTCTGGCGAGGGTTACCTCGGCACTGCAGAGAGCTAAAATGGTTAAACTAGCAGATCTGTTGACAATGAAGTTGTGTTAGCCAATGAGGACGGTCCGTATAAGTATCCAAATAAGGAAGTAAGGGCATGGGTGGAGAAAATTCTTCCGCGTTACAACTACGTAGCTGTCAGCATTTGGTTGCTGGTTTAGCCAAAACATATGGGCGATACGGTATTTCTTATATCCACTCATTTCATGGGAACCATATGAACGGAGGGACCTATGGCCAGTCATTGTGATAGGGAATGAGATAGCAATCAATTGTTGCTCAAAAACCTTTTTTATACCTCGTCACATAACGGACGACTCTTGTTCTTCGATAGCCTTGGATAACTTTCCTACAACTAATGTAGTAAAGGAATTAAGAGCTTCACCAAATAATATAATACACTTAGCTCTACCACTCAAAGTCTTACTATTTTAAAAACTCTATGGAAAGTCTCTCGTTGTTTGCAATGATTTATAGATTTCAATGGGCACGTGTGGCGAAGTGGTTGCTGGCGCTACTGGGACACACACGTGGAATCGATCCACGCGACAATGGCCCACCAAGCCTTCCATCCCTCCGTGGTGGGCAAATTGGTACCAGACTTGCCTGGGAGGATTGCAGCTCTAGCTCGATACATCGGTGGGCCTCCAAGAGTCATTATAAAGGCCAAATATGCATTCAATCATCTTTAACGATACTTAATGAAGTCGAATGCATGGCGCATCCTTTAGGGATTGATCAACGCCGAGAGCTTTATCCTTTATCCTTTTATAGATTTCAATTACTTGCATTTAAATCAATGAGTTCACTACGAGCTGAGATATGTCTCTTCACGGCTTAAAGCTGAATTATTCTTGGCCACAAAGGAACAGATCAGACAGATGACTCTGTCAGTCAAAGGCTGAATGCATATTGAATTTTAAGCGAGAATAGTGCCTGTAACATGAATAAACCGCTGTGGGAATACTTGCTTAAAATAATTCCTACTACATGAAAACATGTGGATGAAAGCTCCATTCCTTAGCACGCAAGAATCTTTCGGGCGTGCACTCTACTCTGCAGTCACACCTCTGCAAATTTCTTTATTGATTTACTTTCTTATTGGAGCGAAAACGTGACATTAAGTGCCAAACTTCAATACTCAAGTACTGGAGAGTTGTCCCTGTTCACCCTTAAATGACCACAGTTTCTCTCTCCAATGAAGTGAATTCCTCCAACAGACATTATCTCCTAGGAAACATTAAATACCGACAAAAGATTTGCAAGTCTGATGCTCACTCATTGATTTGCACTGGACAAACTATCGATTGAATGGAGAAGGTGTAGCAAAGGGCTTTTGTATGACAACAAATACAGCCACGAAGGAAATGAGTGCACATTGAATCATGCAGGCCCATTTGCTTTTCTAGCTTTTATGTGAAGGATGAAGAACAAAGATCCGGCGTTGATAAACCTCTCAAGGATGCGCCATCCATTCGACTTTATTAGTCATCGTTAAAAGTGATGTAATTCATATATAGCCTTTAGGACGATTTGCGGTGGCTCACTGTTGCTTCAGGGCAGTGCTGCTACATGTCCGGTGGCAATTTGTCAACTCTGGACGGTGGAAGGTTTGGTAAGCCAGGGTCGCCGGATCGCTCCAGTGACCACGTGTGTATTGCAGGACACCTGGAACATGGGCTACACGAGCTCGCACGTGCTATGTATTAGTGAAAATCTCCTCATTCGGAAACTAAATGTTAAACGTAGTTGTATAACTATTCCAAAGCTTGTCCAAAGAAAACTATTTACAGTGACTGTTTAATGATCCGCAGCCGGTACCACCGCCACCTTCTGAATCACACTGAAATCACCCCGTAGAGAAATCCAGCTAAAGATTCGATAGAATCCATATAAATTGCTTTACCGCTTTTTAAGCATCTCGAATAATAAACATTGAAAAAACTCCTACAACAAAGTCACTGTTGAATATGTCCTCGAAGAGTTTGCCGGTTCGAGAATTCTTAATTTTGTAGGACCTAAATAGTGCAGTTTCCGATTGCATAAATCAAGGTCGGCAAGGAGTCACGAGCCGAGCATATTACACGATATCACCCGAATTCATCTTTGCGTCAGGGGAACACACATCGGTTGTTGTTCACGTATCCGTCCATGGAATAACCTCATCTAAAGGTGTTTGAATGCACGGATAAAAAAAGGTCACGAATTGAAATGGCGGGACATTGCTAAAGATAGTAAGCATCTATTCCTTCACATTAAGCTTATTTTATTTGTGAAGTTGATCAAACCACTGGAAGAGAACACAGAGACCTCTATGGGTACATAAAACATTAAATGTTTTGTGCAGATCCTGGCCGCTCATAAAAATAAAGGATAAAGCTCAGCGTCGATCAATCCCTGAGGGATGCACCATGAATTCGACTTCATTAAGCAACGTTTGGAGGTGACTGAATGCATGTATAGCCTTTACAATGACTCTCGGTGGACTACCGATGTATCGAGCCAGTGCTGCTATCTTCCAGACAACTCTGGTACCAGTTTGCCCATTCCGGAGGGAAGGAAGACTTTGTGGGCCATGGACGCAGAGATCGATTTCACATATGTGTTGCAGGGCGCATACGACCACTGCGCCAACTGCGCCACACACACGCGCTCTTCCACTGGGCCTTCATCACCTGTATCACCTGTGGTCCTGCTGATCGTCGAGTGTCTCGAGCAGGCGCGAGAATATCTTCCATTTTTCCCTGTCGCGTGCAAGAGTAGCTCAAAGAGTTCTGCTCACTCTAGGGACTCGACCAGCATCATATCTTTCTTCTAGTTTTTTCGTGAAGAAGTCTGACCATCAAGTCGGTGGTCGTACTGCAGTGCGTTTAACATCTCGAGGAATCCAGTCACTGACGTCTCATGTCTATCGGCCACCATTCATACGCATTACGTGTTCGGCCAATCTTACCTTCGATTGTTTGGCATACAGAACGGCATCTTTGATTTTTGATCGTTGACGCAGGTCGGAGTTTCGGATCCAATCCCTAACTTGTGTGACACTGGATACTCCTAGCATAGTCCTTTCGAGTGTGCGTTCAATTACGCTGAGTGGTCTTTCATCCTGTTTTCGCAGCAACGAGGTTTCTGACGCACACACTAACGCAGGAAGTACCGTTGAGCCAAAAAGGTGGGCACGGAGTAGGGTGTTCTTCGTTCTCTTCACTACATCCTCGATGCTTTTGCAAGCTGCCAAAGCGGCTCGTTTCCTTCTGCTCAGCTCTGGAGCTAGGTCATTCGTCACATTGATTTCCCAACGTAGATAAATATAAACGGAGCATTCAGAGATTTTCGTTCCGTTGAGCGTGAATGGGGCATTCGAAACCAACCCGTTCCTCATGAACATCGTTTTTGTAAGATTTAGTCGGTGACCAATCTTTCCACAGGCTTTATCAAAGTTAGCAAGCATACTTTCTTCTTAGCTAATGTTCACTGTTATAAGGACGACGTCATCAGCGAAGCCGAGATAGTGATGGTGTAACTGCCGACCATCGATTTTCACTCCCTTATTATCCCATTCCAATGCTCGCATGACGTTCTGGAGGGTCGCGGTAAATAATTTTGACGAGATGATATCGCCTTGCCTAACTCCTCTTTTGACGTCAATGTTAGTATCGTTGTAGAACGGTGATATTTTCATTGTGGAATTTTTGTAAATATCACAAAGAATCTTTATCTACTAAGTAGGGTCTCCTTGACTATCAAGGGCTTCCAAGACTGCTTCTATCTCAACTGAATCAAAGACTTTCTGTAAATCGATGAAAGTGAGACAGAGAGGTCTTTTGTACTCTCGCGATAGTTCAATGAGCGTTGTTACCGTGTGGATGTGGTCCATCGTACTAAATCCTTTTCGAAACCCTGTTTGCTCACATGGCTGTCCTTCGTCCAGTGTTCTGTCAATCCTGTTTAGGATGACTTGAGTGTAAAGTTTGTAGACGACAGACAGCAAGCAGATTGCGCGATAGTTGCTGATATCGTGCAGGTCTCTTCCACTGAGTAGGGACCTTCCATTCAGACAGGTAACGTGTGAAGAGCCGAGCCAGTGTGTTTACGAGGACTGGCGGAAGGCTCTTCAGGTGTTCTGGTCTTATCTTGTCCGGACCTGGTGTTGTTCGATTTTTCACCGACGAAATGGCATGTCGGATTTCGGAAGGGAGAACCGGTGGTACGACATGTCCATCCTCTTTCATTTCATACGAGAAAAGATGGACGTGGCTATCGAAGAGATCTGAGTAGTATTCGTAAATGATTTTCTCCTTTGCCTTCCTGGAAGCTGTAACTCCTTGGTCTGGACGTCGGAGTGCAACCACCTTCGTTTTACAAGTGGTGAAGCTTCGGTGGGCTTTTCGAATGCTCTTCTCAGTGTCTGCAGCTTCGACCATGACTGCTGCTTTTCTCTCTTTAAGGTCTTCTCTTATCGCCTGCCTGCATTGTTTTGCAAGTTCGGACATTAGTTCGCGGTTGCCTCATGGCGCAGTTCCATTCTAATCCGTGTGTCCTAATGTGACGTTTTTCAAACGATCTTCTTGGTCCAATATTAACGTTGAAATCTATAAATGATGTCCTTGAAGAATGTGTGGTCTTCTCTGTAGAACGTCTCCAAGTCCATATAGAACGCTTTGACTTCTTCTTCGCCATAGTTTGATGTTGGCCCGTAAACGACGAAGACTGTCAAAGCTGGAATTGATCCACCTTTTTTTAATCGTAAACGTCCGATTCGGGTTGTAAGTTGTTCCAATGAATTGATTTTCATGGACAAACTCCTGTTGACGAGATCGCCGAAGCCGCCGACACCTCTACTGCTGCATGTTCCGAAAAACAGTTCTTCTCCGGTGTCACAGACGGCGTTGAATGGGTGGCGTCGTTTCGTCTCGGCCAGGCCGATGACGTCGTACTTTATCCTTCTTGCTTGCATAAGCAAGGCTTCTATAGAGAACTCGGATGCAGGTGTACATGCATTGTAGGAACAAATCGTGACCATAGTTCTTTGCGATCCAGGCAGGTTCTACTGGCCATGAGATTTTAGCAGCCTCTCCGAACTCGTCGTACCCAACGCTGCGAAATTGGGGCTCTTTCGGGGTCTGAGGAGTGAGGCCCGTTCCTTTTATTGTTTTTAGCTTTTTGATACCGACGGATAGCTTTCTGGGCACTGAACGTGGAGGCTGGATATACTCACGGTTACGTTTCGAGGCTCTTCCAGAGGGAACATGGAGCTTATTTGTTGGAGACGACTCCTAACCGCCTCCCATATACTTCCCAGTCACTTGATTGCAGGCTTTTGGCCGAATTGACTCGTAGAATACAATCCGCATAAACTAGAACGCACCCACACACTCGTACATGAATACGCTTAGTAAATATTATGTTCCAAATCGACGAGCAGAAACAGAGAGTCCGTCCTCTAGACCCACGTGTGTCTCAGGAAAGTAAAAGTGGCTTTTGGCCCGGGATTAACCCTATCCACTACCTAGGGACGCGCCATGTAGCCTCACGACAAATCGGCTAGAGATCCTTTATGTGAGGGAAATCCGCGGAGATCAAGAGATATTTGGAAAAAGAATCTTCGTAGCTCATGTAGCTCATACAAGGCTCAATTTTCTACCAGCAGCGTTTTCTTATTCCCAAATTTTATGAAGGGAAAAGATTATCCTACGGAATGGTCGGTTACAAGAAATACCGAGATCCATTCAACATTAGTAGGCAAATCCTTCCAAATTACGCGATCAGTGTGTTTAACATGTAAAATATGGAAAAATTTAGTATATAGCAGCAACGCTGTGGCCCTGCATGGATAAAGCAAGGCCTCTCCTGTTACTCTGTAATATCGACAAAACCCTAAGTCCTCTTACTTACTTGATACTTGAATGACCCGTTCCCACTGGCTGTGCGGGCCTCAGCATAATCTTTATTTTTCGGAGATTTGTTGGTTAAGCCATAATGGTTTTCCGGTGTCTCCAGGTCAACCTGGGCAAAGTCTGCCCCAGGTGTTCACCACCACAGGCAGTCGCAGCACTTGTGGATCACAGGAAGATTTACCAACATGCGACTTTAATACCAAGACGGTAGTGGGTCCTGGTATTGGTCTACTCTTAACTAGGTTTTTGGATGGAAACGCCGGACCCCTTCTCAGCTTGGGAGACCTTGCCAGGGGATGAATCCCCCCGCTGTACAACGCAGCCCGACACTCAGGAACACCTCCCATCTGCGATGAGGCGGTAAACCGTTGGGAGGTAAGCCCTCTAACTGTCGAAAACCTATGATTCATTTAAAAAAAACAACAAAGAGTGTTTAAGTAGCAAAAAAGTTTGCGATATTTATTTTTGTGTCCTCGAAATCAACGGTGGTCGTACATATGCTAAGACCTACGCGACAATATGACCTCTGTAGGAGTCATTGCTTAAGGACCGCAGTGCTCAATGTAACCTCTATAGGGTCATTCTGCCTTTGGTGGTCCACTTTAGTGCATAGAACTGTTACATTATAATAGTACCCAGGATCTACTTTCTGTTAACCTCGGTATTGGATTATGAATTCGTCGTTTTCTCTTCCAGCAATCGGAGGTTGTTAACCAGCATACGTTTACTTCCATACAATAACACATACCACACAACCGTAGCTGACGTCTCGGCAGAATCGCTTCTTTCAGAGCCTGGAAGGGTACACTAATACCAACTTACTAGGTCAAACGCTTCAACAGCACAAACAGAAAGATGAAAATCTGAAAGATAATAATGAGATCTATGGCTTCTGCAAAAACCCACCGCTTTTTCATCTGTCTTCCAGTGAAGGAGAACAGCCGTTCAGAGTCGCATATGGTTGACGACTACACCACCCCACATCAACGATCGATATGAAGGTAAGGGGCGAGATCACGCGTGATCTCGAGACATTCCCCCTGCTATTTATTGTAGGATTTTTGGAATTTATCCAAAAAGCGTCGAGGAGTTTGCGCGCTGGTGTTTTAGGATCCCGTGCGAGGGTAGTTGGGCTTATGTCAAAATCGTCTCTGCTATGCTTCTGTATCTTATGCGTTCCTAGTGGCGTTCCTTGTTTTGCTTTTCGCTTGCCATCTAGGTGTTCTTTTATGCGGATACATTAAGGTCTGCTCGTTTGGCCAATATATTCGTCTCCCCTAGTGCGACAAGAGATCAGGAATATCGTACCTGAACCCATGCAGTCGCCGTCCCTGCCATAAGGACAGATTACGCAATTTTATGTTTCACACAGACGGTAATATAGGCGTTTACGAACTAACTGACGACGAAGAGTATTTGGTGGTATTTCAATTATCACTACCGATTCCTCTAGACCTGCCCTTCTTAAGCATCGGTTCATTGCTACAGTTATTTCATCGTTAATGAAAGGCAAGATAAAAGGGACATTGTTTCGGCCAAACCGTTCGTTTTGGAGCGTCGCTTTCCTTCGAAACTTATCTCGTGGGATTACAATTTCGTAGCCATTGGAGATAGCTATTTGCCGAGCCAAGTCGTGCGATCCTTCCTTTAGTTCCCTACTTGTGCACACGGAGGTGGCTGTGTGAAACATGTTTCTCACAAGCGCCATCTCTGTGTGTGAAGGGTGGAAAGAAAGGGAATGAACCAGGATGTTTTTGTTACTTTGTTTTTGGTACCACTTTGTCATATAATCGTTACTTGAGATGTTAATTTGAACGGTTAGAAACGGAAGCCAGTCGTCTTTCGGTTTCTTCTGGGTGAACTTGGTGTACTCTCACTGCTCGTTCAATAAGTCAAAGCATTTGTCCATCTACTCCTGTGTAGAGAAGACGGCAAAACAATCATCTATATATCTGCAGCAGAGTAGCGGGCGAAGACCGAGAACAGAGATTCCACTCTAGACATAAACGCAATGGCAAGGCTGGTGGCAGTCGCTGTCCCATTACCAGCCATTCCCATTTCACTATACTTTTACCATAGCGTATACAACACGTGTTGTTGAGGTGGGTGTCGGCGACAGAAAGGTGTCGTCTTAATAATTTCTCACTTAATAGTTTTCAAAGAACTTTTTTTTGACGAGTTTGTTTGGTATGCGAGAGGGTGTTACTACTGCTGCCTTTTAGGTAATATCAGAAAAATGCTTGAACATTGATATTCGGTATTCAGAAAAGGCTTTTCACTATGATTTAATAACAAACTGTTGAGGGACGATCTTCAGAGTGGATCGGGGTTCACAGAGTATGCAGCTAACAATGTACATCTACATAAATTTCATATCAACCATTCTTTAAACTCTGACGCTTAACTGAAGAATATCTGTCTCGGTACGTCGAGGAAAACACCACATCGAAAAGATGGACAACTGTGGACCACTGACTCGAACCACCAGCTTTGATATAAAATGATGTGTAGATATGAATCAGAGAAAATTTAGCATTGTATGAACGACGACCCATGGATCTCCTTCATGCTAAGGATCCAGCTAGGCGGTTAGTCACGAGGCTACGTGGTGCGTCCCCAGGTGGCGGGTTGGGGCTAAGCGCGGACCAAAAGCGACCTTCGCTTCTCTGAGACGCAGGTAGAAGTAAACCAATACCAGGATCCACCACCGTCCTGGTGTCAAAGTCGCACAGTTTTGCAAATCTCTGCCTGATCCACAAGGGCTACGACTGCCCGCGGTAGTGAAGACTTGGGACAGGCTTTGGCCAACCTGGCTTCGAGATTCCAGGAAACCACAACTCCTTAGCCAGCAAATCTCCGAAAAATGGTGATTATGCTTGGGCCCGCACAACCAGTGAGGACGGGCTGTTCAAGTATCAATTAAGTAAGTGAGATATTTCATTTCCAATCTTTATTATGGGTATTCCTCCCAACGGTTTACCGCGTCATCGTGGCTGGGAGGTGCTCCTGGGTGTTGGACTGCGATGTACAGCGGGGGATTCATTCCCTTGCAGGGTCTCCCAAGCTGAGGAGCTCGACGTTTCCATCAGGAAGCCTAGCTAAGAGTAAACCAATACCAAAATCCACCACCGCCCTGGTATCAAAGTTGCATGGTGGCAAATCTCCCTCTGATCCGCAAGGGTTGCGACTGACCGTGGTGCGCGGTGGTGAAGAACTAGGGCAGACTTTGGCCAGGCTGGCCTCGGGATTCCAGGAAACCACAATGGCTTAACCAGAAAATCTCCGAAAAATGGTGATTATGCTAAGGCCCGAGCAACCAGTGAGGACGGGTTATTCAAATATCAAGTATTATGGGCATTGGTTATCGTATAAGTGGGCAGATAATTTAAAAAATTAGAGGAATATGTTACAGTTATTTGCTTGAATACTTCGATGTCCTTAATAACTCAAAAGACCGACTTTCTATAACCTCAGCATAGATAGTTTGATATATCTATTTATACGGCCTCATAAATTGATCTTTTTTAGATGATGCGAGGTTGGTACAGGTCTTCGTTATCTTGAACGTCACCATGAAAAAAAAAACTTTGATAGCCTGTTTTCATGAATACTTCAGGTCCTAGAACATTTGCCATCCGTGCCTTTTTCACGCAATGGGTTCCCTATGGCGGCGGTTTGCTTTCGTGGTGACGTTCACGATGCACATTCCGAGATTTTTAAAACGCGTCCATTCCATATACAGGTGGAGCTCGATGACGTATACACGCAACATAAGTTGAAAAACACTTAAACGTGCTGAGAGCAGTGTGCATGATAATGAACCATAGCAAAATGTGGTAATTAATCCCACTAGATCGAAAAAACGAAGCGTGTTCCCAATCTCTCATGTCTTCAACCTCTAAAGGCTGCTAGCTATCGAAAGTTATGGGTTACCGTCGAAAAGCCAACACTGTTGTTAGCCATCAGTGGTAGCTCAGACTCGCCACCTCACCCGTGAGTCCACCTGATTTTCGATATTTTAGTATGCACAACAGGGTCTCTATTTCTTGATCGTTGGCGTACGTCGGAGCTACGGATTCCCTCTCTCATTTGTGTGATAGGTGATAATCTCCGCATTGCCCTCTAGACCGCTCCTTCAGTAATGCTATGTAATCCTGTTTAAACAGCGATCATGTTTCTTCCAGCTGATCACAAGCGACCTGTTTCGTCATGTTAACTTACCTACCCGTATACACAACGGGCGGCGTGATCTCGTTCTGCTTAGCCTGGTGGTGTCTTACCTAATCTTTTGCCTATATTATCAGGTATTCAGATTAGGCCTCAAATGAAAGTGAGGATGTATTTAACTACAGAACGTCGCTCTAGTTTTTCTAGGCTTAGGCAACCCAGAACGGCGCTGAGAATTTGGCATTATCCCCGTATATTTTACGATATTCAGCTCTTGATTCCCACGTAGAGCTTGCTTCATTGTGAATGTGGCAACTGAATTTACTCTCAGGTAGCTTGCCAGTGTCTCCCAGAGTAGAAGGGAAGCTTACTTGTTGGGGCGAATACTAACGGCCTCCAGTGTACTTTCCAGTCATTTGATTTCAGGTTTCTGGCCGAAATGGAAAGGATATTAAATTAACTTTTCAAAATCTAAATGAGCATCCTAGGATTTCTGTGATTTTTATCGGTACAAACTACGGCTGAATTTCGGCGAAGACGAATACCGACCAGCGAAGTTTCCTTCATTTTTTTACTTGATCCGTGATCACATCCACTCTGCGAATCCCAGCTGTTCTTGCATTCGATTCGCTTGCCTTGCACACCTCGTCTACAAAGCTCGAACATGTTCGCGCTTTGTTTGGGCTGCTGCTTGAGGAGTTGCTTTTTTTTATTGATGGCTTGCAATGCTTGTGGAGTCGATACTCCTTGCATAGTTGGAGACACCCGGGCTAACTCGTTCCCGCGTGGTCGAGCCAGCACCGTCCTTCCAAATCGACGGCTTCACTAACCACTCCGCTTTTCTCCCCTTTGTACTTGTTATTTACTTACCTGCTTGGATACTTGGATGACCCGTCTTCACTGGTTGTGCGGGCCTCAGCATATCTTCTATTTTTTGGGAGTTTCGGTTTAGCCATTGTATTTCCCTGAAGTCCCTAGGTCCGTTATGGCAAAGTCTGGTCATAACCACGCTAGGCAGTCGTCGCCCTTATGGATCAGAGAGAGATTTGCCACCATGCGACTAGTTTGATACCAAAGCGGCGGTGGAACCTGGTATTGGTTTATTCTTTGCTGGATTTCCTGATGGAAATGTCGGATTCCTTCTCGGCTGGGGAGGCCATGATGGGGTACGATTCCACTGCCATACATTGCAGCCATAATACCCAGGAGCACTTCCCAGCCACGATGAGGTGGTAAACCAATGGTTTGCCGTTTATTGTTGATTAAACGATGTTTCCCTTAGGTATCTAAAAACGTTGTCAAGCACACTTTCGATGTTCTAAGCAAGCTACACAAAACATTTTCCATTGAATAAAGAATGTTCTTAGTCTCTTCATACACTTGCACTTATTGTTTTCAAGCACTGCGTTGCCTATAACATCTTTTTTTGTAAACTCTACTGTTCCTATCTAGTCAAACCCTTACGGTGATTGTGCTCTACTGCATTTATCGTAGTAATACTGAATTAAATCAATCACATTGAAAGGGTCGGAGAAAATTCTGGAATATTTTCTCGGCCAGCACCATCTCCCACGTCGAAGAGGCGTGAAAAGATTGTGCCAATATTTATTCCGGACGCTATCTGAAAAAACTCAAGAAGTCTGTCGGTTACAATAAGCTTTTTCCCACTCCAGACAATGTATTAGAATCGATATCTGCTTATGAAATTAATCCCGCTCCTCTGCTTCACTTTTCCCACATGTCTCCTGATTGTCATTAACCCGATTAATTTTAACCATGCAACTCGTAACCCTGTTCTCTGGGAATCTACTGAAGTCATTCTTTAATTTCCATGCAACCACTGCACTGCCAACTTCTCAGTTTTGTCATTGTTGTATCACTTTCTATATGCAACGATCCGAATACCGAAGTTTGAGCTTTGGTACTATGGGTAGAGTCATTTCAGGTTTTGCGTGGTAAAGCGCCATAGAGCTCACTGTTCATTGTTACCTTATCGCTGTTTGCCAGGTGAAAGACTGATGGCTGGTGAGAAAATCTAATGTGGAGCGAACCTTTACCTGTGAAATATTGCAGAGCTAGTCGAAATTTGTGGTTATTTCCCATTTCAAATTGGAGTTACTTCATTCCGCTTTTATTAATTTGCTTATTTCGTCTAAATATTACGCTGAAAACGAAAACCCCAAAAAATTGATGAGTGGAAAGGGACCCGCGGAAGTTTCTTGACATGAAGGAAAACCATTAGAAAGATACTTCATATCACCGTATACAATTTTTCTATTCTTAATTGTTTTTAGGAATTTAATGATTTGGGTGTTCGCTGGAGTTCGCTTTTGAGACGTTGGATTGAAGAGATGAGCTGTCTCGATGATTTTTCGATGTAATAGGTGCGTGTTCTGTGATGATGTTTGATCGAAATCAAGCTGGTAGGGTTTTGTTGTGGCAGTCGGCAGTAGTGGTTCCTCTTTCCTCGCCCTCATACTCATCTCAAGTGTGCACTCCACCCCACAATCCACTTTGATCGCAGTCGGCGCGACTCACTTTGATGCTCATCGTCGGTCATCCAGCTGTACGACAATGTGATTCTCTTTTCTGTGGACAGAATCTTCTCTGTCGATATCTTAATATTTTTCGAAGATTCTTTTCTCCTGTTCTCCAAGTGCATTGTTTTCTTAAGGCTAAATTACCTGTGCAACTTCTTGGTTATGGCTTTTCCTTCAAAGAATCCTCAATATTTCTAAATAAGTTGGTTAATCATAATTCTATTACTGACTAAGTTTCTGCAAAACATTCACGTTTCTAGGTTACCGTTTGCTGGCCCAATTTTCATTGTCTTCTGGCCGTGACATATATGTGATTTTCAACATTTATGAATGTGTCGTTTTCTTGTTCAGCAATCACGAGGTTTTTGCTGAACTACTTTTTGCTGAACAAGAAAACGACACATTCATATTCCAATGCCGAGGTTAATAGAAAGTCGATCCTTTCAACATTTAGTTTATGGAGGAGAGCACTTCCGGGTGGTTCACGATCCGTGATGGCACCATGTTAGTTTGGGAAGGAGTGTGTGCATTGGAATTGAAGAGCGCTATTTATCTCTTCAAAATTCGAAACAAAAGTCTACTCAGCATAAAGTTACCAAACATCGATGTAAATCGGGTGATTTCTACTTCAGAAGAACGTAGAACATTTGGTAGGACACGTCGTCTTCTCTTTCACGAGATCTATTATCTGACATATTGCAGGTTTCATCAGACGGTTACTGGTACTGTGTCGAGATTTCAGGAAGCCTGGGGAATGCCAAAGCCCCTTTCTACTACCACTCTGATTGTACAAGAAATGCTCGGCGAATGCTTAAGGTTTCTGGCATGATCTTTCAGAGAATTCTTAATTATTATTCACTACTTCAGCACCTGACTGCGTGCACATCTCTAAACATCACTTCATTGACGATACGGCTCGATCCGGATCCACTGCGACATTCAAGTTTGGAGAATATCGTACAACGTGTAACCACGTGGTCTCAGTTAGGCAAGGAATCCTGCAGTGATTACCGAATAGTGCTTGACTCGGAAATGCCACTGTGAACATTCGGGTCCTACTGGCCGCGTTTTTTGAAAGATTCTTCAAGAAATTTTCTCCGTGAATAAAATTTTTGCAAGCCAACCACGGGGTTGTTTGTTTGATCGATCTTAAGATGTTTTTCTTTGTTCCATAAATTATCCAAAATTGCCGTTTTTTGTCAGCAAATCTACCTGTAAAGGTTCTGTTCATTGTTTTTCAAGCGAAAAGGTTGCTCCGTGTTGTTTCGAAGTTTTCGTGGTTAGCATATCACCATCCCTCCAACGGTTTACCGCCTCATCGTGTCTTGGAGGTGTTCCTGGGTGCCGAACTGCGATGTACAGCGAGAGGATTCATCTCCCCGGCATGGGCTCCCAAGCTGAGGAGGAGTCCGGCGTTTCCATCAGAAAGCCTAGCTAAGAGTAAACCAATACCAAAATCCACCACCGCCCTGGTATCAAAGTAGCATGGTGGCAAATCTCCCTCTGATCCACAAGGGTTGCGACTGACCGTGGTGGTGAAGAACTGGGGCAGACTTTGGCCAGGCTGGCCTCGGGATTCCAGGAAACCGCAATGGCTTAACCAGCAAATCTCCGAAAAAATGGTGATTATGCTGGAGCCCCACAACTAATGAGGACTGGTCGTTCAAGTATCAAGTATCAAGTAAGCATGTCACTATTGGATGATTGCGTCTAAAATTTAAATGTTGTGCTTTCTTTATGTCTCTGAAACTCTCAAAACCTATTTCGCTTGATTTCCATGATGGAGTTTTGCAAGGTTCTTCACAAATTTCGTGTTGGATTTCCTATGGTTGCTTTTTATTAGGCGCATTAGCATATTAGCATGGTGGTTAAAAGTGTCTTGTAGTACAAACGCGTTCTTTAGTTCGATCCCGATAGAGTAAATATACACTCAAAAAATTCTACGACGCTTGATGGAGTGAAATCACGACTACAATGATGGTGAGATATGTGCAAAACCGGGAGCCCTGCATGAGTTTCGAACCCACAGTTAGCCTTTCCAGGGGCTCACGTGCTGTCCACCATACCAACCAAGGGTAATGCTTTACTCATCCCTCGGTTAGTTTTTTACTTTCAAATTTTATCTAAGTTCATAATTACTGGCAGCAACGTTTGATGCCTTGGTTGGTGTGGTGGACAGCATGTGAGTCTACGCTAGAGGCAGCCGCTAGTTCGAAGCTCACCTTTAGTTCCGAGTTTTCTTCATACCTCAGCAACATTATGGTTGCATTTTACATATTACCCTGCCAAGAAGAAAAAAATAGGCAATAAATAAAAAGTTGAACAGAATGGAATTACCTTTAGATTCGCTCACTTTTCACGGTTTAATCAACACCAAACGCTTTATCTTTTGACCTCTAATTTTTACACTTATGCAAAAATGTCAAAATCAAAAAGGTTCACTACTATGACTGAAAGAAGTGGTCGCAACGGGAACTTTTTAGTGGCAGGGTATATTGCGAAATAAAATAATTACAATGCTGTGATATTTGCAGAACTCCGGACCGCAAGTGTTTGCGATAGGAAACGAACGCGCTATTGTCCTTTCCGGGGAATAACACGTTCACCAACACACCATGCGGGTCCTTTGTTTCGCCTGTCTCTCAGTTAGTTCTATCGATCTTTTGCCATCAGCAATCAGCCATCAACGGGATTGATCTGGAAAGCCCAAATCGGCATTGAAGCCAGTTAAGCTGAGGCTATACTTATAATCACAATCTTAACCTTTTTATTTACTGCCTATTCTTTTTAACCGCAGGGTATTTTGCGAAATATTACTACGGAAGTAATAGAGTTTTACCAGCGCTGACTACTATTATCCAACCTATGGAGAAAAGTAAAAAGGATTTGTTAAATATGAGTTTACAAATTTTTGTGGATGCATTTTGAGCATCTGCATCTTGTGTCGTTAGCATATGAAACAAATGAGAACCACATGGCAAGACTGAATGCTGAGAAGAAATCGGTGATACCGAGCGAACTGCCCACAGAAGTTGGTGTTACCAGTCGCTTAGAGAACTTGTAGAAGAAGTTTCCTTGCCTTGCATTAAAGAAAACGGGACCGAGAATTGATGAAATTTCCTGACTACTCCCGATAACCAAGAGCTCCTTTGTCGAAGCTTATGTCTCAATACTGAGGTCATAACTGAAATGAATGGAGCTTCAACCGCCATGATGATTTGAAAATACATTGACCACCCGCTGAAGAGCACATGAAGACTGTGGGACATAGATCATTCAGATCAACGACAAATTTAGCATTGCCGTAGCCCGTAATGGTTAAAAGCTGCGCCCCCAAAATGTTGGAATAAAACTGGACATTTTACAGGACAGTCAAAATAATTATGAAAAGCATAAAAGCGAACGATGATGACTTCCATAACCCTGCAACGGTAAGTCAGCACTGAATTCATCAAATGACCGTACAGGTAGATTGTTATGTTATTCAGCAGTTCACTTGATGGTCAATGGAAAAACGACTTGTGAAAAAGGCAGTTAATTAATTGTTGATTTCGCTTCCACAAGACATGTTTTCTGGAAAAGCTTAAGTCTCATTGGTTTTTACTCCGTTAACTAGCTGAAATAAAGCCACCGAAACGCGAGTGAAAGTTACGAATGGACCTGCTTTCTCGTCTGAGATGTTCCTTTTCCGTTCAAGCTGCCTCCACGAATATATTTACCTCTAATCATTCCGGATCCGAAAGCGAAAAGCTTTTCTTTTTTCGCTTTTCTCTTCTCTCTGTGTTCATTCTGGATAAAGTAAAAAGGTCACCTAGGAATTTTTCAGGTTTAGTTTATTCATCAGTTTTCCATTGCTAGCAATAAATGGGCTAAGGAGCCATTCACTGATAAGGGAAAGCATCTGAGTTGGTTGAACTGCATAGCTGACAAAACATGTGCCGTTGCCACATGGGGATTAATTTCACACTTATATGATCCTAATTTTACTGCGTTCTCACCTATTAAGCTGAAGCGAATAAAGCAGCCAAAATTCACCTAAAGCTTTAAACAACATTGTCTTGACAGCGTTAAGACCATCATGTGGGGAACAGTTCGCCTCGTAACGAGTTCACTGGGGTTCTCGCTTCGCTCGACTATTCCTGGAGTCTGAGATTGTGAAGATAGATCACGTCTAGTGTTGAGTGATTGGCCGACAGCCCACACGCGAAGAGCAAATGAGCGATCGTGAATAGTACGCGTTTCCGTCAACGTCTGTGATTGATTGCCCGAGCAGCAGTGATTCGATGAACATGACTTATTAGCGCCCAATACGAAAGTTTTCGTTTTCTTCTTGATGAATGGCTTATGATTTATTACTTTATTTGCTAACTTGTACGATGGCACCGTGAGCGACACAACAGTCACGTTCTATCTCTGGCAAAACTCCCGCCAACACTTATGTTATCGTCGAAAGCACCTGAGTGGTGGGTTTCAACGGATTGCCGACACCGACATCAATTCATCACAGCCGATGCCAGCGATCTCTGGACGTTTGTTCTATTTGTTTCGTTGCAATCCATCTGACTCTCAATCGAACAATAGTGATGTGTAACGACTTTGCGATAGGTTAATTTATTTAATACTGAAATAAACCCATTGGTGGACAAAGGATAATTTTGAACCGTTTGCCGACAAATCGTCTATTCTTCTTCAGTGTGCGGCGATTTTCACCTTGCCGAGTGCATCTTCAAGCGTGACGATTTCGCCTGAAACCTATGGATTAAGTTGAGCAGCAGATTCATATTCTCAACGCTCTCACAGAAGCTCTGCACTCGCCAAAAGGTTTTGCGCTCTCTTCAGCGTTTTCAAACCCTTTGGTAGGATCTTTCATTAGACACCGTATTTCACTGCGAATGTATTGATTTCGTAAATCTCATATAACAAATGATCAATACTAATCAATTGGCAATGTCAGCTTTTTACTTAGTGCCTATTATGATCACAATGATACCTCGGTATCTCGGTATCATTGTGAGCATAATAGGCACTAAGTAAAAAGGACACACGTGCGGGTCCTTCGTTTTGCCTGTCTCTTAGCTAGTCGATCAGCGCCATCAGCAATCATCCTTCAACGGGATTGATCTAGGGAGGTCAAATCGACGACGAACCCAGTTAAGCTCAGGCTGTAGTCGAAATCAATCAATTGAATTACTTTGCCTTTACAGACGTAAAGGAATTTTTTATTGTCAGAGATTTTAATCGCGCAAATTCATGTCGCTCTAAACTTTGTCGGACTATCCAACAGTTCTTGCAGAGAAAAATGATTTGATGCGAAATGTTTGTAGGATATAAGGGTATGTGTAACACTGCAGTACATCGTCTTATTCAACCGATTGTGACTGTTGCGTGAACACTTGAAAAATTACGTGTTGACCCGAAAGCATGTACGATTCGAGCCTACGTCGAATCTCAGCTCCCTCATTGCCTTGACTAATTGACACAGAAAGTTCGGCTGATGTGAAAATGTTCGATGAGACTTCAGTGGAATGGCACTGGCAGTGTTGACAAAAGGTGACTCACTCTTGATTTCGCGGACCATCCTCTGGAGTTCGGACACACGATCGAGCACTTCAATCCTCTGTGTGTAGGGGTTGTAGCGAACTTGAAACGTCCTGGGCATCGTCGCTGCCCAAGCCCTAAAAATCATTGCTCGTAGATGGAATGAATTGGAACATTCAAAAAATTCTTCAATCCAGACTATCACTATACCCATGTATTATTTAAGAAACAGTTATGACGCAAAAATTGTATCAAACCTCAGGCGAAGGCATTTTTAGAAATTTTGTTCGCGGTTTTCAGTGGCTAACATACACTCCCCTTTCTCACTTCACCATAGGTTCCATCAATAGCTGCCGATGCATCGCATATAGTATGATCACCCGAAAGGACATCACCCCTTTCAAGGCAGACAGAATAAAACATAGCATCGAACGACGCAACCTCCTTTGGAACTTGTTCACCTTTCGGTGAAATATCTGAATTTGTTCGTAACAAATGGCTAAAAAGACAGAATCGTTTGCGCTCTTCCAACTCTTGTTCCATACCCAGGACACCTGGAAGCTGCGATTTCGGCTTGAATATATCATTTTTGCCATTTTTTTATTTGGTCTGTCTTCATGTCTGCTGTGCGGATTTCAGCACTTCTCACATTCGATTCGTTTCCTCGTATCCATTGTCCACGATGATCTTCCAATTCTTAGGTGCCTTAGGTTGCTGCTTGAGGATTTTTATTTCATCTTGAATACGTTGTAGAATGCTGGCCGAGCAGCTCTCCCTGGAATCCTCAGATATCCGGGTTGGAGCGTTCCCAATTGGATTACAGAGAGTAGTTTTCTTCCAGACAAGTCCTGTACCAAATTTCCGACCTCGGAGGGATGAGAGACTTGGTTGGCCCAGAGCGGAATCGAACGAGCACCATGCTCGCGGTGATGGACATCACTGCCTCTGTGCTATCCACCCCTTGTTTTCTATTTTTGCTATTAGAGACAACAATCGTCGTGCCCTGTGCAGGAGCATAATCCTAGGCAGGAAGATAAAAAGGGTATTTCAGTGCAACGGAGGTGTTCAGTTGACAAAGCTATGAACCCTTCCGTTGCACTCGTTTCAATCGTGACTCCAATCCTTGGTATGTGATATTCAATTGTTCCGCTCTTAAGGAAACAGGATCAAATAGTATCTGCTGCTGCACGAAAGCGTGAAAGTTTGCATGGAGGCGAAAAATGGTCTCCTCTTGGTCAAGATCGGTAGGAGAAAAAAGAATCATGCCTGCTCCAAATCAGAAGTGGGACCTTTTGATATTGCAACTAAAACCTGAATCTCTTAACCATTTTTTACCTAGTGATTCAAAAGTTAAATCAGAAGAGGGAGCATTTGATATTGAAATCAAACTCTTTATCTCATAACCTTTTTTTATTTGATGATTTGGAGCAGACATGATTCTTTTTCCTCCTACTGGCCTTGATCCAAGAGGAAACCATTTTTCGCATCCGTGCTAACTTTCACGCGTGAAAAAAAGTGAAGTGAAGTGGAAACGAAAGAAGAAAGGGTTGTGGCCATCATCAGGTAAAGTCATCGAGTAATTTTATAAAGGTGGCGAGCTTAAAAGATGGGAAACGTAGAAATGAAATTTAAAAAAATTAGTTGACAACTTGAAAGTGAATTCCAATCATTCACTGAATACTTTACGAATCCCCTTTATGAATGAGCTATAAATGTGACTATATGAATGATTTATGAAAATGAACTTACTGCAGTTTATTCTTGGCACTTGCAAATGAATCGGCAAGAAAGTACTTTGGTTGGTATTCAGTAATAGGATATTCAGTTATGGATGTGACCGACGGCTCGAAGGGAGCGATTTCCGGCTAGAAGCACATGGTTACTTGTACTTTCCGGTAGTGAGAGACAAGGGGATTCATGCCTTATCGCTCAAGCAGTACTGCAGTTCACCGAATGATGAGAGCAGTCCGGCTCCATATGCTTTCTTTTTTCCGTTTTGCAGACAGATTCCGAACTCTATTGTGAACCAGTAGAGCTGAAAGACGAGTTTTTGCGACATTATGTCACTAAATTAGGGAAAAATTAAACCCTTCTCACTTTTACACCATAAAAAATCCTACTAAAAACAATCTGCCTTGCCTTTATCATTGATATCTATAAAGTGTTTAACACTGACCGTGGCGAGTTGTTTAACCATCTCGTCGGAGGCTCCAAGGCTGGCCAGACCGATTTCCTGCGAGAATTGAGCGAAATTGGCATCAGCGAACAGTGGCACATGGCCGAGGAGTTCATGGCAGATATCTCTAAAACGAAAAAAGTTGGTGGGTGCGAAAAGTTTCAAAAGGGAAATTTCAGGCTTTAACTAAAATCTAGTATGAATCGACATTCGAAACTTACGGTTCCGGAGTGTACTTAGGTGCTGAATGATGTCGGATGTACTGGGTGGAATGGAAAACGCGGAATGCCAGACCAGCAAGGAAATCTCTTGAAGAAAGAAGACCAGCAACAGGGCGTAAAGTGAATCCAGTACAGTCTAAGAGAGTTAATGAAAAAGTTTTGAGGATTCGTTAGTTGACCAAAAACGAAGGGATGTGCACTCGTGTAAAAAAACAGAAAAGCATCTATTTATATCTATGGGTAAGGCTTTCCTTAGCGTTTCCGGTCATCAGAAAGGAAAGAAACGTACCTTTTAAGAATTCGGAAACATCCTGCAGCTGCGGAATGTTGTCGGCTCTGAAACCGCAGTTTTGTTGGAGTAAAGGAAAAATGTAGTTGAATTCTTTGCAGGCGTGGGTCGGATAGAGAGATACAAGCTCCTGAATTTTTTTGTTTTGTAAAAATCCACCAGTTTTTAAGTAAACCTGCAGTCGCTTACATTGTATACGACACGCCAAGTATCGATTTCCTGCTCCGTGTATTCCACTCGCGGAATCTTATCCCCACTGGAAAGTAAACTGCACAATAAATTGCAGACATCAAAACTTGTGAAGCTTGGAAAGTCCTTTGAGATTAATCTTTCTTCTAATGGTAGTAAGAAAGCAAAGAGACAATACAAACTGTTTATAGTTGAAGGCGATATCGGCGAAAAATTTACGTCGTTCGCGGTAAGTCACGTCCTTGAAACCCTACAAACAAACTTAGTACCTTTAGTGCGATTGGAGCTAAGTTAATAATCACTATGTGCAGTAGGACCCTCTACAGAATGGACCTAAGTGATGTAAAATTGAGGTATACGACAAAAATTGAATCTCAGTGAAACTTACAAGCGCTTTTAATAGAAAATTAAAATAAAAATAAAAATTTTCTGATGTAAAAGAACGATTTTTGACCAAACGCAAAGCAGAGAAAGCTGATAGTCCTTGAACCTCTGAATGTTTTTAACTCAAAACAAAAGCTGTTGGTCTCTCTCATAGCAAATGAAATCCAAGGAATCCCAAAACACAGCTGCCATTGATTTTGTTCGAACCATGACGCTCAACATGTCCCTCCCTATTTTCCGCTATTTAATTCACTTTTCAAGCTTCCCGTAAGAACTGCTTACTTGATACTTAGTACTTGAATGGCCCATCCTCACTGGTTATGCGAGCTCTAGCATAATCACCATTTTTCGGAGACTTGCTGGTTAAGCCATTGTGGTTTCCTGAAATCCCGTGGCCAGCCTGGCCAAAGTCTGCACCAAGTCGTCACCACCACGCACCACAGTCAGTCGCAACCCTTGTGGATCAGAGGGAGATTTTCCACCATGTTACTTTGATACCAGAGCGGTGGTGGATTTGTTATTGGTTTACTCTTAGCTGGGCTTTCTGATGGAAATACCGGACTCCTTCTCAGCTTGGGAGACCCTGCCGGAGGGATGAATCCTCTCGCTGTACATCGCAGTTCGGCACCCAGGAACACCTCCCAGCCACGATGAGACGGTAAACCGTGGAAGGAACAACTGCTTATTTGTACAAATAAAAAATAGCTAAATTAAGTGAAATTAGAAAATCCCACTGGATGGTCAGCATCCAACTCGGCTCCGTAGCTTAAAATTCGGTTGGCGAAATGGTCGATGTCTGCAACTCGGCGCGGAAACCACGGCACGGAGTCTGGAAGATCGTGTAAGCAGAATCCCGTTTAGGATAATCATTATCATGATGTTTCAATTAAAAACAAAATAGGTTAATGAGAAAAAAATGAAGATAGAAAATGCCTTCGTTCTGCTTGTTATGCGTGCTCCAGTCTTGCACCAATAGGCCGTTGGTCTTTTTCTTGAAGAGTTGAATAACCTGAAGTGTGAAAACAAAGATCTCCACTTATCACTCACTGCGCCAATTCTTTATTGCTTTTTTTTCTAACCTGCTCAATATTATGCTGGTTCGAATCCTCAGTGCACTCAACCAGAATCTCGTAACATCCTGAATGTGTTTTAGACGGACGTGATTCGATATGAGAGAGGTTCACCTCGTGAGCCTAAAATCCAGGTTCATGTTAAATTTTGGGAAACCCTCCCTATGGCAACATAGAACCTTAATGCTGAAAGTGACTGGTGTTATTCTACTAGAAAAAGTTTTTTTCTCACAAAAAATTCAAGAGTTGTGCCTCGATTTCAGCTCTGTGGAAACCTGAATAACCATAGTATTTTCTTAGATATTGTCATGCTTCTTCGTCGCAATAGGAACTACTAAGTACGGGCGAATGTTGCTCTTCTAAAAATTGGCTTTTTAGTTGAGCTTACCGAATATGATGCTCATACGCGACAAAGCCAGCTAATGAGTTCTGGTGATATATCATCACTTAACTAAATGAATGTCAATAAGCCATCATGAAAAAAGATTGTTTCAGAATCGAACAACAAACAACGATTGGCTTGGGAAACCATGAAAGATGTAGTGAAGAGAACAACAAGCGTCCAGTCATCCCACCATCCATCCTAATGTAGGATTCTTCTCGTCGTGAAGAACTTCTCAGAAGTCGGTTGTTATGTTAACAGTATATAAAGTCCGCCAGTACTAAGATGGAAGGGATGGTAATAGGGGTAACGGGTACTACAAAACTCAGAAGAGAAGTAGGAAGTTGCTCAATATATTAATCCTAAATATCAAGATTTTCACAATGTTAGTTTTTTATTTCCTGCCTGCTGCAATTTTTCATGGCAGGGTACTATGTGAAATGCGGCCACAATGGTGCTGAGATATTTGCAAAACTCTGGACTGCAGGCGTCTGCTTTTCCGTCTATATGAGACTTTACCTAAACAGCCTGAAAAGTACAATGCTCTTTTCACTTAATCTTCTGATAGTTTTATTAAATCGCCTAGTCTTACGCTGTTTGAAAAATTTTTTAAAAAAAGCACAACATTGTTACAACTGATGTGATGTTGAGATGGTTGAGAAATTTCCAGACTGTAGGTGCCTGCGGTTGGGATCGGACTTGCTATTACCCTTTCCCGGACGCGTTCACCACTACACCAAGCGGGTCCCTCGTTTCGCGTTTCTCTCAGCAATGTTGCTATCAGCAATTACCTGTCAATGGGATTGATCCGACGAAGAGCCCAACCCGCATAGTGTGGTGTTGAACGCGTTAGCTCCAGGAAAGGGTAATAGCGTGTTCAATCGCCATCGCAGGCGCCTACGGTCCGGAGTTTGGCAAATATCTTGGCATCATTGTGGTTGTATCAAGGTTGTATTTCAATATACTGGATATTTTGTAAGAAGTGGAAAACCAGAAAAGCTGAATGTGTAGTGTGTTCTAACTTTAATGACACAATCGGCGCACGCGAGCTGTTAGCAACTTGGTCCCATCGAATGTTAAATTCAAAAACGGAACCATTAACCCAACAGTAACCGAGACAACATCAGCTACTCGCGTCCTTTTTTTTCTTGCACCTTATAAATCGTCTTGTTGACGCATTTGGAAACAAAAATCACCAGAGACAGAAATATCCCTGAGCACACGGCATAGATGCTCCAACTACGAGTAGAATTCCCGAGTCAGCTCTGTGCTTTCCGACTGTTTTGGCGGCAGAAATCCATTAATAACTCTGCCGGTTGTCGTTTCGTAAATCTCAAGGCGGTGGTGGCGAAGACACCAGAAAATCGGCGGAAGTGATGATGGGCAAATCGGAACCTGTTTGACTTCCCACGTCAATCTCGCATGATCGCAATGGAATGTGCACGTGGCCACGCTATTCTGATTCTTGCACTTGCTGTTATCGTTAACGGAAAGAATTGATCGTGCCGATGTTGATGGAAAAATAACAGGCATAAATCATCGTTTGGCAAAGGAGCCAACCAACGATCTTCTGGATGACAGCTTTGCCATGTTAAACACTTTAAGTATCACGTTAATCCGACCATTTTGATGTGAAACACGAATTACAAACGAGATTTAAACCTAGCTGAACAAGAAAATATCAAGATAGTGATGAACGGTTGCTTGCTGAGTAGCTAAGATTCTTATATTTTTAGAGCTTTAGTTGTTAAGATAGAAAAGAATCATACAAATGGGAATAACTCTGACTAATTCTAAGTATCTGTGGCAGGACGTGTGTGGCGCAGTGGTCGGAGGCTCCCTGCAACACACATGTGGAATCGATCCTTGCGCCCTTGGCCCACCAAGCCCTTCATACTTCCAGGGCCGAAGAATTGGTACCAGACTTGTTTGGGAGTATAGCAGCACTGGCTCAATGCATCAGTTGGCCACCGCGAGTCATGTAAAGGCTAGATATGCACTCAATCACCTCCAAACGATGTTTAATGAAGTCGAATGCATGGCGCATTCCTCACGGATTGATTAACGCCGAGAGCTTTTACCCTTCTATCAGTAGTAGATATGTTGACGCCTTCACTTAAGTTCGCAGAATTAGAAAACACTTTTGGGAACTCATTTACTTTCTGACGAATGGTGCTCAGAGCTGATACGCCAATATCGCTTTGACCCAACGAAACCGTCCATCGGTGTGAAGTTAAGAAGTTCGTAGTAGATCCTACGGTAACAGACAAGTTATCGACATCTCCATTGGCAAAGTAACAGGTGCGACTGAGTAGATATTCAACGCCTCAGAGGAACGCCAACTAGACCACTAATGTAGAAGTAAAGCATTCAGTGGACTAATCAATGCCACCAATGTTAACTCTACCTCCAGTTTTTGCCCCACACCTACCAAACCCCGAGCGTCAACCATTGGAGGATAAAAGAAGTTGTAATGGCTAGATTCAAAGATGGTTTAAAGATAATGTGAATCGACACAGAAGTTTTTCAGTTCAGTTTTTCAGTTCACAACCAGTTTCAATTCGAAGCCTTCTTACCTGGTTGTTGTCTTAGTCTGTGGCGATGCATAAAAGAACTTTTCTAGTCCGTTTTCCAGTAGTCACCTAGTATTAAAGCTAAAACGATGAAGCTCTCGGTGTTGATTAATCCGTGAGGGATACGCCATGCATTCAACTTCATTAAGCATCATTGGAGGTGATTGAATGCATATATGGCCTTTACAATAACTCGCGGCGGGTTACAGATATATCGAGCTAATGCTGCTATCTTTTCAGACAAGTCTGGTGAAAAACTCGGACCCCAGAGAGATGGAAGGCTTGGTGGGCCACGGCTGTGGGAATCGATTCCATATGTGTATTGCAGAGCGCCTCCGACCATTGCGCCACACGCGCCCTTTATAATTCACCACAACAAATGGAAATGGAAGAAAATGTGAATTGCCAGTGAAAACCTGGGTTTCCAAGCCTGCAAAAGAGATAACGACATCTTTTTCTAATAATTTCCGACAATTTTAGTTAACTACAGAGCTTTACGAAGTTTAGAACGTGATGAACTTGTAAAAGAGAAAACGGAGTAATAGAGTAAAATAAGGCCGATAGAAAGGCAAAATATTGGCCTTGGTCGGTGCGGTGAATAGCACGTCAGATCCTGGCAAGCGTAATTACGGGTTCGAAGCCCAATTGAGGTTTTGCCCATATCTCCGCATTCTTGTGATTGCACTTCATATCGTACCGCGCCATTAAAAAAGAAGATAGGCAGTAAATAAAAAGTTCATATTGTAAAAGAGAGGTTACTCCATAACGTTTAATAAAACTGTCGATATTTCCAAAAAATATTACCTCAGCTCCATTTAATTTTAAAAATTTCATGAAAATTTGATTTTGAATTTGATTTTGATTTTCGTAGTCGAATAGGAAAGTTTGCATTATTTTGACGAAGATTTGTAGACCGTCATGGCTTTTTCTCTCATTTGCTAAAACTCACGGCTAGCGTGGATAGGCTTCCTGCAAAGTGCGAATGTTCTCAGACTCGTATACATTGAAGGATAGAGGATAAAGAATAAAGCTCTCAGGGTTGATCAATCTCTGAGGGATACGCCATGCATTCGACTTCACTAAGCACCATTTGGAGGCGATTGAATACATACCTAGCCTTTACAACGACTCACGATGGCGTGCCGATGTATCGAGCCAGTGCTGCTATCCTCCCAGACAAGTCATTTATGTATAAATTGTAAATTACTGGTTGTAAAACAAATTTAAGATGAAATGATGATTAGACAATTGTTTCGAAAGCCAGACTGTGTTGAAGCGCACTGATGAGCGAATGCTCCGTGAAGACCGAGACAATGCGAAGAAGTCTACTCAACGATCTTGCCGTCATCTCGTGTTAGCGAAAACTCCCTGGTTGTCCAATCCCAGTATTTAACTAGAGGCATATCAGCACCTCTTCGTCTATACTATTTGTCCACTGTCCATACTTTCCATGCTGTGTGCTCTCTTCAACAGTCTTCAATAACCTTTGTCCGCTAAGCTCACTTGATACTTGAATGGCCCGACCCAACTGATTGTGCGGGCCCCAGCATAATCACTATTTTTCGGAGATTTGCTGGTTAACCCATTGTGGTTCTCCGGAATTCCGAAAATAGCCTGGCCAAAGTTTGCCCTAGGTCGTCACCACGACAGGCAGTCGCAGCATTTGTGGATCAGGGGGAGATTTGCCACCATCCAAATTTGATACCAGGACGGTGATGGATCCTGGTATTGGCTTACTCTTAGCTAGGCTTCCTGATGGAAACGTGAAAATTAAGAAATCATTAGCATTAGAAATCACTTGTAAATCGTTAGCTGTAAAAAATATTTTCCTATGGGTTATGTCTCGCAAAACATTTAATCTGGAAAAGCTATCGATACAACGCCAAAGGTGGTGTAGAAGAACCTCCGTAAGCCACTGAACAGGTGTGGACCCTTTTTGCTACACATGGTCCCGTATTTGTTAATTTATCCCACAACTGCTTTACTAGTTAAATTTTTTCTTATATAAGAGCACCTGAAATATTTTGAGGGTTTCCGCGAGAGCTCCAGGCTTTTCCTTCAACGTGAAAACAATCGTCGTCTTTCCAACATCAGTGTTGATATCCGCAACGTACGACTCCATTGCGTACTTCTAAAAAGCTCGGAAAAAATCAAGCCATAGTGAAGGAAAGAGTGAAGGAAATCCAAGGGATTTCTACGATTAACCGTATATTAAGGTATATGTCACTCTTTACTTCGTAACTACTAAAGAAGAATGTAGGCACTACTTTTTTGCTCTTAAACCTACCAGAAATTCCTCATGAACCAGATGTGTCGGTGGCATGTTGACGAGAATTCAAACGTATGACAGACAGACATAGAGGCGGGGCGCTAATCAGCGTAAAGTGTTGAGATAGTGTCAAGTATTAACACCTTTGGTGTTAAAATAAGCTTTGATCGAGGACATAGGCTATTGGATAATCCACATTAGACTCCGATGTCTTGGTCGGTCTGGCTCCAAGGTGTTTTATGTTACCATTCAAAATTGAAAGGGAAGGGAAAACTTCACACTCTATTTTTTAGGGTCATAGAGTGACTGATTAGAAGATATCGACAAAGGTAACACGCAGACAGCGTGTGACAGATGCTGTTTCGTCTGATTCCGGCGTAATGAGAGTGTGTGAGACCATGGCTGATATCGACACAGTCTGCTAATAACGTGTGTGCTGACAATAAAAATTGCTTCACTTTTATTTGTTACGTGATTCGGGAATTAATGGAGGTGTCCTCATAGTCAGTTGTTGAAAAACTGAGCTGGAAGTTGTAGCACTTCCAATAGCTAAGTTTCTGCTGTTTGGAAACTGTTCGAAAAAGCTGGGAATCTAACAAATGGATGCCAATAGTCCTCATTGACGCAGTCATGGTTAAGTGAAGTCTAAGATTATTGCTCAAATTATCCCGTACTTCAGTGGTGGTTCAGTCCATTTTTCAATTATATTTTGTGCCTAGTTCGTTCATAAAACACTTCTATGTGATATCAAATCTGGAGTTTCTCATAGCAGACTTAAAAGGTTCATCTGAATGACTAACTCAAAGTGTTCAATCGATTTACCACTACTGAGACGTGGTTCAAGATAAGAGTAGACAAAAGAAAAGTATGAAAGCAGTGAAGGAGGAAAAGGAGTTAGTATTCCGATTCAATCTTTTCTCACTGTGTTCTTCTGAAACGATAATCCTTCTGAAAAGTGCAGTTCAACGAGCTGTCGAGTTGACATACAGGTCTCCTCTTATCGATCCTTCAAAAGTTCGTTTTCAAAGAGTTTTCTTTGAAAAAAGTCGGACTGAGACTCAGCTGAATTTTTCGGAATAGTGTTGACAACAATTTACTGATCACCGCTCAAGTCACTCGACGATCAACAGGACTACAGGTGGTACAGGTAATACAATGTCCATTAATTGTTTTCCTTGTGAACAGAATTGACTGCCTTACAAAGTCGCGTCATTAGTAGGCTTCTTCGGAGAGGTAAATTTTATTTCCATTCAGTAGTTAGTAGAACAGAAACAACAGAAATAGCTATTTTTCTGATGATTACCAATCGTCTAATTCTACTCTAAAGAATAAATAGCACAGTCAAAATCTCACTAATAGGAAGCTACTTTAGAGAAGGAATTTACTTTTTCTCTTAACCTGCTACTGTCATTAGCAAATCCTTAATGATAATGAAGGAAGGAAGAAGCTCAGAGAGAGCAATAAACTTCAAAAGGAATCACTTTCATCGGACACGTGCAACGAAATGCTTATCGTCATGCTCGGTGAAGATTACTGTTATCAACGATGACATCGGAGGTCGGTACACAGATCAAGGTCACAATGCGAAATCCTTACCGGTTCAACTGTTTCGAAGTATCTTATCGCTCGAGTTGGTATCAATAAGGAAAACTCGGCTCTCAAAGGCGTACACAGCAGTGTTTCCTAGAGGGAGTCTGTGAAGAAAAGGATAAGACTCTGGGTGTTGCTAAACCTTTAAATGATGTAGCGTACATTTGAATTCATCAAGATCCGTTAGAGGTGACTGAATGTGTATTAGTACTATATAGTAACTTGTGGTGGTCTCCTTTCGAATCAGTCTACTGCTGCTAGCTTTCCACGGAAGCCTGTTAGTAATTTTCCGATCCCGTAGGGATAGCGTTTTGGTTAACCAGAAGCAGAAGATCGGAAGCATCGCGAGAATCGACAGAATTTTGCCAAATATTAATGATTCTTTTCTTCTTAAAAACCGAAGAATAGCATAGTTTCTCTTATCAAGCAAAAACCCATACTTTATGGACTTTAATAAAGGACATAGATTCCACTGCATGCACATATTATTTGACACTTGCAACACAGCAGTCTCTAGTGAAACTGGTTCTTTTCTCATACCTTAGATTGGCCTAAATCGTAGTGTTACCTGAAAGATTACTTTAGCCTAAAGGCTGCCTCTCCAAAGCTTATTTTGCTAATTCAGCTTTATGAAATTTTTCACGACAGCACATTTCTACGGTAGTCCTCAAAAATGTATATGGATGCAGACCCGATCGCCAATACCAGGTTGACCAAGCGCTCAATTTTATTGTAATTCCGAGATCACTTAGGCGATTTAGAATCGTTTTCGATGGTCCGAACTGAATAGTCCATGGTACTCTCCACAGTGAGGTTAGATCAGCCTAGTTGGAAACGGACCAAGGATACGACGGCGCCTTTTCATGAATCTTGTGCATTGTTCAACACAATGAACAGCAAGTGTATGCGGTCCGGAGTTTTGCAAATATCTCAGCATTACATACGAGTTATATTTCGCAACATACCCTGTCATTAAAAAGAAAAAGGCAGTAAATAAAAGGGTTAAGACAATGAACAGCTTTCTTCATGTTTAGCTTACATACCAGAATACTTAATTATATTGATAGACCTCTGTCAGTTACTTCACAATATGTGTGGTGTAATCACTAATGAACTGGATAGGTTCATTATCAAATCCAGTACCGCTGCTGCAAGTCACATTCATACAACCGTCTTCGATATACGAGGTGAGCAGAATTTTGTTCCAATTATTAAATCATAGTTCACTTGACATCTGTATCGCTGGAAAATCTGTGTTTTGAAATATGTCTAAATTCAACTAGCTGAGAGACAGGCGAAACGAAGGACCAGCATGGTGCGGCAGTGGATGAGTTAGCACCCGGAAAGGGCAACAGCGTGTTCGACCTCCACCGCAGATGCCTGCGGTCAGGAGTTTTGCAAACATATCAGCATTATTGAGATTATATTTCGCAATATGCTCTGTCATTAAAAGAGTAGGCAGTAAATAATAAGGAAAAATTCTACATTCAGCGTCATAGTTAATGGTTAAGTTCTCATAGGTTTATTCAGTGCAAATGCTGATTCACCTCCCAGCGTTTTACCGCCTCATCGTGGCTGGGAGGTGTTCCTGGGTGTCGGACTGCGATGTAAAGCGGGGGATTCGTACCTCCAGCAGAGACTCCTAAGCTGGGAAGAAATCCGGTGTTTCCATCAGGAAGCCTAGCTAAGAGTAAACCAGTACCAGGATCCGCTATCGTCCTGGTATCAAAGTCGTATGGTGCAAATCTCCCTCTGATCCACAAGGGTTGCTACTGGCCGTGGTGGTGAAGACCTGGAGCATACTTTGGCTAGGCTGGCCTCGGGATTCCAGGAAACCACAATGGCTTAACCAGCAAATCTACGATAAATGGTGATTATGCTGGAGCCCGCACAATCAGTGAAGACGGGCCGTTCAAGTGTTAAGTGTGTCAAATGCTGATTGAACATTTTTTATTAATTCTAGGTTAAGTATGTATGGGCTCGGACTATTAAATATTTCCGCTACCATTGATGCAATGAAGGCTTGTATAGATTAAAATATCATATAACACAATGCCAAGATGTCGGCCATCGCCATCTGTCGAAGCAATGCTCTATAACAGAGAGTTCAGTGATACTTATTACTTGTGATTCGCCAGATGCTCTGGAAGTTTGAGCTGAACTGTCACTTGTACTGCGAAAATAGTAATCAGTGATCACGAATTCCTTTCCCAGAACTCAGTCATCGATTCACCTTAGACTTTTTATATTTTATCGCTTTCTCATTTTTGCAGAATTGTATACAAAATGTCTACGTCGTCGTTGTCAACGGCTTCGTCATTCAATGCTCAGTTAGTACAGCAGACATTTGATTACGCCATCGAGGTACGCACTATTTTTGTCTGAAGCCTGCGAATGCAAAGAAAGAAAATTCTGAGACAGCTTTTTATGTAGTAGATCGCTGTTTCTAAGAACTATTTAGATTACGTTATTATGCGTTGTTATAATATAGAATCTAAATTGTTAATATCGGCGCATGTGGCGCAGTGGCAGGAGAGGCCCTGCAACACGCGGGATCGATCCTCGCGCCCATGGCTCACGAAGCCTTCCATCTCTCCGGGGTCGGCAAATTGGTACCAGACTTGTCTGGGAGGATAGCAGCACTGGCTCGATATGTCAGTGGGTCACTGCGAGTCATTGTAAAGGCCAGATATTCATCCAATCACCTCCAACGATGCTTGATGAAGTCGAATGCATGACGCGTCCCTCAGGTAAAGGTATCCGCGCCGAGAGCTTTATCGTTTTTTTTACATTGTTGACGCGAAGGATTTGAAATAAAAAGTTATGTTTCAGGAAACATGTCGAAACTTTGGTCTTCTATCTCCATTCAAACATGAACCAAATCATTCTTACGATGACAAGAAAACAGCTGGTGAATTCCATTCAGGATCTCGTTTTGGTCCGTGACTGAAGTCGTATTCGCAAGGATGGCCTTTACTTGTAGGCACAACACAGCGGGCTAAAACCTAACTGGTTAAACGAAGTCTACCATTTTTTACTGTAGGTTCGATGAATTGTAAAGTAATTGTCTGAGAACCTTTTTCGAATCTGAAACCCAGCAGCTCCCTAGGTTAGCTGCGTAAGGATTCCACGGAGAATCAACTCCACCATAATTCAACGACTTCTACAAAGAGAACAAAAATCCTCAAGCAAGTGCCTATCCACACACAAAATGCGAAGTCCTTGGTGGACGACAAGCCTGATCTAGCTTTGACCACATACAGTTTGTCTCATCGAAGTATAATCGGAGGTTCCCTCTGATCGCTTGCATATGAAGTGATTGGAACGATGAACAGGGTCAATTTCCTACTGGCCCGACAGAAAAATCTGGAAATGAACGATTAACTCCTTTCCGCTCATTCGATTTTCTTTAACACTGCATTTTTATTTTCAGTTGATGAAGAAAAAGTGATAACGGACTTTGACGGAATGACTTATGATGGATTTATTCACCAGGAAAGATTAAAAAAATTTCCTCCGTCGTATTACCACGTCCAAGAAATGAATAAAGGTCCAGGTGAGAATATGGAACACTGCAGAATCCTTGCTTATCGTGTGAACATTCATTCCGAT